TTATCACCCGTGGATAACACCCGTTACGCCACACGTATTGTACCTATTGGTATGATGGCAGACAACACGATGCACGATACACTCTCTCGCTCACCCACTCACTCACCACTCACTCACCACCCACTCCTAGCCTAGGAGCCTCAAACCCCAACTTATCCCAACCTAGCCAGGCTGTCAAAAAAAAAAAAAAACCTCCATCAAAGTGCAGGGCAATGGGTACCGAATAAGCAACGTCACGTCACGTCACGGAGGATCTTCAAGTTATCATACATGGACCTCAGCGGACCTGTACGGACTGGGCGGTTCGCACTCGGACCATGGTACCAGTGCACAGATAGTTAGCTAGCTACGCTCATCGAGGCTATAGATAATAAGAAGGAAAAAAAGGGAAAAAAAAGGGAAAAAAAAGGGAAAAAAAAGGTGGAAAGAAGGTTCTATTCCTTCCGGGTATGATAATGCTGTACGCCCGCCAAGGCGCTGTTATATTCGGATCTGGGGGGACGGGAGGGGATGAGGGATGGGGATGGGGATGAGAAGAGAAGAGAAGAGAAGAGAAGAGGATGTGGGGGGGGGGGGATGTATGGACTACGATAGGGGTAGGCATAGTCTAAGGATGGAGCACCGTATGTGGTTTATCGGAGTGTATGCGGCTGGTGCGATGAGTGGTAATTTATTCTCGGTGGTGGTGGTGCTATCCTTTGAGAATATAGTATTACTATGTTCTAGTAGTAGGTATTATTGTTAATAGTGCTCGCGGAGCGGAGCTTCTAGAGTAAATGGTACACTACTCGTACTGTACTGCACTGTACAAGTACTCGTAGAATGCCCCCCCTTACCCGCCGCACCGCGGGAGAGGTTAAGCTCTAATTGGATTCTGGGACCGACCAAAACAACCAATCGAACAATCGAACATATCGCGAGAGCAATCGAGCCAAGAATTTTCGCCTGACGTTTCCCCCGGATAGTTATTATAGTTACACTTCTGTTCCTTATTTTGGGCCTTTATTGTAATTGTACCCTACCGTAATGTAAAACTCGAGTTCGCCTCACTTATGCTCTACCCACCTATGCCTGCCCACCACCTTCCCCTAAAGTGCAAGGTACCACACATTTTTCCAATCACAGTTTCGATTTCGAGTAATCGGTTGCACTTCATCGAGGAACCCTCTTTTCCACCGGGGCCAATTCAGACGAGTCAAGCCCTGGCAGGCTCGCTGGCTGGCTGGCTGGCACCTCCATGACGCGCCCGAGTGACAATTTGTGAAAAAAATTCAAATCCAGTCCAGTATCATAACCGTAACTTTTGTGTATTATCATAATTACTTTTTTGTATCAATTCCTCTGACGACGAGCACGTGGCAAGTTTCCATACCCCTTGCCTTCCTCCCCTCCACCTTCTGTACTTGTAGAGGAGGCGGAGGGGGGGGGGGAGAGGGGGAATTGAACGTGGACAAGGTGTTTGAATTGAAACGGTTTGGGGAAGGGAGGCTGGGGGGTCGCGGGCGGCTACCGTACCAGTACTGGCATGTCATTGGTGTTGCGCTAGAGGTGATGTGATGTAGGAACCGATGCGACCGTTGGGAATGGGTGATTCTCTTCTTTCTTTTTCTTCTTTTTCTTCTTCTTCTTCTTCATCTTCATCTTTTTGTGGGAGGGGTTGGTACCGTATGATAAGGTGGTGGATGGGAGAAGGAGGGGTGGTTGGGGGGGGGGAAGGGAACGGGAATTGATTTTTCTGGGAGGCAGAGTTGCGGTACGGTACGGGGTGATCAATTGGGTTATGGACTACAGTACCGCACCGCCATGGTTATTGGGATGCACTTTACTCTTCGAACCTACCGTATACAGAACTCTTCGATCTCTGTGTTACTGCACCGTACCGGTACTTTGTTATGAGCCTGATGACGATGGGAGAGAGGGAGGTGGGCAGGCGGGCTTTCCATTGTATCGTATCCTATGAGACGGGTATGATACTTTCCAGGAATACACACACGGTGGAAGTGCAGCTTGTTCGTGCGGTAAGGAAGGGGGGTGGAGAAGAAATAGAAATTAAAGAATAAAGTAAAAAATAGGTTTTCTGCCTCCTCTTTCTCCCCCCCCATATATACCGCGTAGTGGACTTTACCGTACCGTATGACTTTCCTTCCTCTCTTTTGTCCTTACCGTTCCATCTTGTCGAAAGCAGAACACTGTGCAGTACCGTTTACCGTTTCTCCAGCATCATACTTGCAGCAGCAGCGTATAGTACTCGTACTGTACCCGAGCAGAAAGGCGGACAGGCTGCATTTCATTTCATTTCAATTCACTACAGTAATAGCTTCCGCGCCGCAACTCCTTTTTGACTCTACTTACTCCTTTGGTGCACACCGCTAGAACTTTTCGCGACCAATACGTCCTCCCTGGCTGAGCTTTACAAGGGCATTCCATAGGCAACAGAGGGAGTGAGAAATAAGCTGTTCTAGTCTAATCCTGTCTCGCCTGCCGGGTGTTGGGGTCTCGCCGAAGGCAGCCACGAGATTTTTCGCGGACTTTGTTGTCTTTTTTTTTTTTTTTTTTTTATTTTTTTTAGTGGGGGGGGTAAAACGGATCACGAGTGCGATAGGGTGCTTTTGTTCCAAGAGATAACTCGAGTCCTGTACTCGAGTACCAACTGTATCGGTAGGTTCACTTTTTCTTTTCTTTTCCATTGTTGGTTGTTTTTGGCTGTTGGGGAAGGAAAGGTTTGGATTTTTCCGAAGAGTTGCCCCTCCCCCTCACTCCTGGGCACACTGTACTAGTATCATACTCTACCATATTGTATGATATCCTACTTCATACACACTCCCCATGGTTGACCTTCCCTTCCCCTGTCCTCCGGAGAACTGCTATTACTAGTAGACACAGGGAATATAGCGTTTACACCCTCCGACTGCAAATTTTTCCTTCCCTTGGTTGCTGTTAGATAATCACGGCACTTTATTTACTTTCTTCTTTGGAAGAGAGGCCTGTCTTGATTTGGTTATGCAGCGGGGGGGGGATGTTTTTTTCTCTTGCTTTTGTACCGTAACTTATTATTTGGCGCTCTTTCATGATAGCTGGCACTTTTTTAGTATTTTTTTTTTCTTTTTTCCTTTTTCGTTCTCCTACTCTCCTCCCCCTCCCCTCGAGTGAGAATAGAGTGAGATTGCGAAGGAAAGAGAGAAAGATTGAAAGCAAAAAGGCAGCGTTGTACAGTACAGTACAGTACAGTACAGTACGAGTATCATCTCGAGTATTTTCAAATCTGGAACCAGCATCGGATCAACAGCAAACACAACACCAGGACGTTATTAGTGGCAATTAACTTACAATTCCGAACATCGAATCAAAAGGTGCTCCAGATAGAAAGAGTCTGAAAAAAGAGTTACCATAACTAGTTACGGTACATAGTACCTACCCTTTTTTCTCCCTTTCTACTGCCCCCTCCCTACGGTCCAATATCGCCTGCCATAAGATCATATCTACCTCCCACTTCGCCCGAGGAACGGTTTTGAACTTGAACTCTTGATTTAACTGAAATTCACCTTTTCCACCATACCGGTACTGCGCTGGATTTCAGTGAATTTTGAACTCCTTCTCAAACCTCCCCCACTCTTCTTCCCCTGTTGGCTTGGTTTCCACCGGCCGAGAAGGGACCCTTTCGCTCGAGCCCCCCCTTACCGCGCGCCGGGGCTTGCTGCATGCTGCCAACCTCCATCAGAACTCCCTAATTTTTCTTCCCTTTCACTTTTCTCGCTCTTCCTATTATCGATTTTAGAGCCCTGCTCGTGCTCTCCTCGACACTTCTTTTTTCAACTTCCTCCATTCTGCGAGTGCTTGTGTCGAGGGCGTCAACCGTTTACCCTTTTGACGACGAAAACCCTACTTTTTTACTCCCGGAACCGCCTCCCTCCGCTCGCACAGACCGGTCGGGTCTGCAGCCATCCCCTCCCCGCCCTCTTCCCTCCTTACAGCAAGAGTTCGGTACGCTCTTTCCCATTCTGCAGCCCTGCCCAGTCCACTCGGTTCTTGAATTCCCCTCGACTCGTGCCAAAGGTTCCACTCTTCCTGCATCTGGGGCGATAGGCGAGTAGAAAAATCGAAAAAATAAATAACAATAAAAAAGAAAAAAGGAGAGGGAATTTGTCCACCATCCGTCGGCTTCTAACCCTCACTCTCGCGCGTACTGTACTCTGTACCCTACCGTCCGACCCCGCTAGATTTCTATCGCCCTCCTCCCTCCCTCCTTCCTCCTCCACACCCCGTCCATCAACCCCCACACCATACGGTACCGGAACCCTTCTCTCAACAAAGGAAGAAGCAGTAGGGAACCGACATCAACATCCACTGCTAATCTCGGAGGGGCATAACGCATTCTTTTATTCTCTTTTCCTGCTCTTGCTTCATCCATTCGCCTACCATACCCCCCCCCCCCCTACCCGTACCTCCCTCCCCCTCATACATATACTCATACATACACGCATACGCACACACACACGCACTCACACTTTTTCACTGCCGCGCATTCCTTTCCCGAAATAGTTTCCTTACCCTTTCCACTCACTCTGTTAAGTTGTCGTCGCCCGTTGCCGGTGTTTGCGCACAAAGCGATATTTCACAAATATGATCAAGGTGGGTCGTTCGCTATCACAGCTTGTGGATAACAAGCGGACCCGAGAGTCCAAGACTAGAAGTGTTGTAGGAAGAGGTGGAACACAGGCTTATCGTGATAAATCGTTTTTTTCTTTTGAAATACAGGGCATTCGAAAGTCGCTCAAGGGCGACACATATTCGGGTCCGAAAGCGTCGCACTTATCTATTACGCCAAAGACCGCCATCACCATTCAACCCCCTAAAAAAGTTGGTTCCCCCTTCAATATAGGGTTTATTTGTTTCTTGAACTATCATCATCATCATCACCGTCATCCGCTGAGTTGAGAAGGGGAGAGAAGGAAATATATCTTTCTTATTTATTTTGTGTCTTTGGAGGGGAATGGGAAATTCTCGGAAAAGTGATAGCAGGGACTAATTAGGATTCGTTTTCTTACATAGGTGATTCGAGCATCGTTCGACTACACGGCAGCAAGCGATCTGGAATTAAGCTTCTCCAAGGGTGACTTTTTCCATGTTATAGGGAGAGAAGACGACCCCGAATGGTACGAAGCATGCAATCCGGCTTCAAATGCGAGGGGATTGGTCCCAGTCCCTTACTTTCAAACATTGGGTAAGGGCGGGCGTGGGAGTCAGGATTCTGCGGCTTCTGGCGTCAGTGATATTTTAAGGACCGATTCGGGATACTCTGATCGGGGCGCGACCGCTGGATCGCAAGAGCGTGTCACCTCTTCCAGTGGCACTGAGAGGCCGAGGGCTATGAGTACTGCTGGGAAATCTGGCAGTCCCCTCTATGGTGTTGTGCAGTATGATTTTGCCGCGGAGAGACCCGACGAGCTGGAAGCAAAAGCCGGTGAAGCAATTATAGTTGTTGCGCAATCGGATAAGGACTGGTTTGTCGCGAAGCCGATTGGTAGGCTCGGTGGTCCTGGCTTGATTCCGGTGGATTTCATTGAGATTAGGGATATGGCTACTGGCCAAACCGTCGAAGACACCCAAGCTGCGATTGCGCGTGCTGGCGTACCAAAAGTTGAGGAATGGAAGAGGATGGCTGCCGAGTACAAAAATAGTAGCATTTCACTTGGTAGATTCGACTTCGATGCACAGACGGCGCAAGCCCAGGGGCAGATGCAGAACATGTCGATAAGTGACGGTCAGAACAGACATGTATGTTGCCACCCATCCATCTCTTTATGCTTTGCTTTGCTACATCGCTGAACGCTTTTGTTAGACGCTCCAAGCGTACCCTAATGGTGGCGGTCCTCCGGATCAGTACCGTCACTCGAGATCGTCCTCGCAGGGCCAATATTTGGCACCTGTGGCTGCATCCGTCGATAGTTACTCTTTCGAGAATGGTCGGTACTGGTACGTACTCAACGCGACAATGGAGGATGGCAGAAGCTGGATCCTATGCCGGTTCTATGAGGATTTCTACGACTTTCAAATTTCTCTGCTAGACGAGTTCAAGGAGGAGGCCGGTCACACTGGACAACCTCGCTCCTTACCATACATGCCGGGGCCCGTAACATACGTCACCGACACTATTTCGGCCGCTAGGAGAACGAGTTTGGATGAGTACATCAAAAAATTGTTGGGTATGCCTACCTATATCTCTAGGAGCAAACTGGTGAGGCAACTATTTGCGCCTCGACCCGGAGATGTGGAAACAACCGGTTATAGACAATCGCAGGTTTCCCTCCACGATAACAGACGTTCCACAGCATCCCAACAGTCTAGCGACTCATCGAGGGAACCATCAAGGCAGTCCTCACAACATAATCTTAATGGGACTAATGGCGGAAATGTATATCCCGGTTTATCGGCACCCCCTCCACGGAGCTCCGGGCAACAGCCACGAATGGGAGGATCCAATGGCATCTCTCAAGCCCAGCAAGTCCACATTCGCTCGGGCTCTGATCTGCAGCCCCCACGCATGCTCCGACAAGATAGTTCTATGAGCGCTGCAACCCAAGGATCAAACTCTTCACAGCCGGGGCAGTTCATGAAGGTTAAGATTACCTACAGTGACGACCTGATTGCAATTCGCCTGCCAAAGGACGTGTCTTACGTTCAGTTGCAAGAGAAGTTACAGGAGCGTTTGGGAGCAGATATCAGTTCTGTCCGGTATAAGGATGAGCCTTCAGGGACTTATGTCGAGCTGTTGAGCGATAACGATTTGGCTGTCGCACTGAGCCGGAATCCGAAGCTTTGGCTGCACGTGCAGAGTTAGGAAAAACAATAAAACAACATTTGGATTTTTGCTTTCTCTTTTCTTCTTTTACCCCCCCCTTTTGATAGTTTTTCATTTCTATACCATGTCATTCATACCTGATACTGGAGTTTTTCTTTCCGTCTTTTCTTTCCTTTTTGTGCTTACTTGAACGTGTCCAAACTCTTTAGTTAACTCTTTCATTTGTCATGGGTCCAGGGGTGGTTTTTGTCTGGAGCTGCGAAATAGCCATTGGGGGCAGAGAGAAAGAGCTAAACATTTTGAGAATCTTGCTTCTCTTCCCTCCCAGCTGACGTACTTAGTTTGTATTCCCTGTTACCCCCCCCCCTTTTATTCTCTCCAGCCCCAGCTATTTTTCTTGCTATTTCCTTTGGTGCGTCTGTCTCTGTGTTTCTGAATGTTCCTGTCATCTATGAGGGTATAACGTGTGATACGAGGTTTGGATTTTCTTTTTTTTGGGGGGTGGCATGGGGAGTTGACTTCGATCGTTCAAACCGGGACCGGGAACTCATCTCATCGGTAGGCGACTGAGTGAGTCAGCGTTGACAGACCACATTTGACGATGGAGAGAATATGGCTACGGCATGCGCTGCTGTGCCATGTAGATTGGTGAATCTAGTTTGTGGGGTAGGAGGAGTAGGAGTAGGAAGGGATCATTGTTGTCACGAATGTATTGCTTTTTATCATACTGAATTCGTATGTTTGTCTGCCTGTCTTGGAGTCTGAGCTGTGGGTGGCGGGGAATTATGGTCGTTCATGTTAATCATCTCCATGTCAGGAACTTTTGGGGCTTTTCTTAACCCCACTTTCTTACGCCTTTCATTTTCTTTTGTATGTCCATTACTAGCCATAGTTCATCGGTTGGTCGGATATCACCCTTTCAAATTTTTTTTTTTTTTTGGCTTCTTGGTTAACGTTAGTTGCTCACCCCCCCTCCCCCCTTCATCTTACCACGTACAAGTCAACGAATGAGCGCGCACGGAAGGTTATTTTTTCCTAATAAAAAAAAAACTGGATTTTGTTTTATTTCTTTACTCCTTGGTAGGCAGTCCTAGCGTGTAGGAGTTGCATAGCCCTTTACTATCATGAACTGCCACCCTTTCTTTTCCCTTTTTCCTATTTCTGTGTATATTCTTCTACCACCTTTTTCTTATCAAGGAAAAAATGGTCTGTCGTTGATATTATGATACCTGGCTGGGATGGGATGGGACTTGTGGATTTCTTTCTTTCTTGCGTTCTGTTTTGTGTTTTTGGTTCGGGTTGTAGATTATTTGTCTGTCATGGTCTACGATAGTATGTGAATTTTGAATTTTGATGTCGATTGAATTGTTTGTGTAGTTTTTGATCGTTCCTGGGTGTGATATCATATTATGCGAGTGTGGTATCGTGGGTTTATATTTGGGTCATGGTATCATACCTATGGTGCGCTGACCAACAGCAGGGTTGCATGGATGAAACATGAAGTATCACTCGATGGTTTGGATGCGACATCTCTGGCTCACTCCTGGTGGTTGATGTCCGACTTGGAAGTGGGGGCGGGATTCCCCGTGCAAAGGGTTACCATACAAGTCATGAATATGGTCTATCATTGTGCACGCCCATCCCTCATACACGGCTAGGCCTGCACCTTTTTTTCTTCCACCATCATTGATATATATATTCCTCCCTCGATTTCGGTATTCCTTCGACCACGGATCTTGTCGTTTGCAGCAAACTGACTTTTGTGTTAATTTCCCTGGTATTGAAGAAGAAAGGAAGGAAGGAAAGTCTGTCAGCTTAGACAATTTACCGTCCAGCTATGATATATTCTCCTTTCACATCGATAGCCTTATCATACATACAAACGTGCCTCTTCCCCCAAGAAAAAAGAGGTCAGATGGATGGCAGGATAGCAGTAGCGGCGAATCTCGACCCTCTTCTGCCACCAGTCTGTTGTCTGAAGATTTCTATATCCTTTGGAAATATTCTCGCAGGGTTGAAGCGCTGAGGAGATAATGGTATGATAGTAACCTTTTTGATTTCCCCATGAAAATGGCATCGCACATTTCTGGTAGGTAGCTCGGGTATATATGGATTCATCGTATGGGTTTTTTTTTTTTTTTTTTTGGCAGGAAACTATAGAACTAGGCGCCACCTCTCAGGGAGCACACGCCCAGTAAACGTATTCATAATGGATCACTCGTGTGGTTGCGCTTGGCGCTAAGTGTCGTTTGAGGCCGAACGAAACATGCTGGTGGAACTGCGGGGTCTTTTTTTTTTTTTTGAGACATTGCGTCTCTGCGGATGTCTTGGATATGTTTCTTTATTTTTTCGGGCTTTCTTTTTCGTTTGGTGTTCGCGCATAGAGCTGTCTGGTATGAGCGTTATGAACTGAGTATGCTCTGTGTCAATGTATCTTCACCGTGCAAGAAACCATGCCCTTGGAGGGAAGGGGACGTTCCATGCCCAACTAACTCTGGGAGAAATCACTTTTCTATGCGGTTTTCTGCACCCATGGTGGTTGGGCAGTGGTAGGTATGATGGGTAGCTGCTGAACTGCTTGTATGTTATTACTTGCAAATTCTCTGTTTTTTATATTTTTTTTATCGTGGGGTATCATCATACACACCCGAGCACTCGCGATGGCAAACTTGGAGGTCGGGGGTGTGTGTGTTGGAAATTATGGATTGTTTGCGGAAGCTCGGTCGTGAGGATTACCCGGATGTCGGTGGTTAAGCAGCTCGCTTGTTCTCCTTGTACTCTTTCCTTTTGTTTTCGTTTCTAGTTCTCTTCCCTCTTCTCAATAAGCTCTTTTCAATATCCGAACAAGAACAACATCGGTCTTAATACAACTCTTGTTTGATCTCTAATTCTCTCTCTGGTTCTCGCTTTCAGTAAAGCTCCTC